TGTTTAATCCTCACTCCCAACAAATTCAGAGGTTGTACGCCGTAAATTCAGAGGTTTAAAAGAAAGAAACCCGACGCACGGTCGAAAGGATTTCCACGATCAATGCAAGACACCAGGCGGAAGGATCCGATGAAAATCTCTCTTCCTCTGGTTCAAGTCCCCCGCATTCCTGGAAGCACGTAATATCAACTTGGACTTCTCAACCACATATACACATAAAAGTTCCCCCAACTTCGAACCCCGGGTATCCCCCCTTTCTCTGATACGATCCCGAAGGACGGAAATAAGGTATCGGATCCGAACTTGGCTATGTGCTATCGTATTGTACAGTACAGTACATTGGTTCCGCGATCGACTGCCAAGAACCCTCTTGATTGATCGACAGTATGGGAAGACAATTGCGAAGTGCGCTTCCTCCGAAACATTGCCCCGATTTTGGGGGGGTTTTCACGTGTGGTGCTAATCGATGGCACGCGGCGGGGGCCATAATTAATCCAATGCTACAATCATGGACCATGTTCCAGGATTTCTCGGATCCCGAAATGACCTAGAAACATCTGACGAATAATTACCGAGCAAGCTGGTTTCTCCTCGCGACTACGGAACAAGTGCGTAAGGCGTAATAATTTAATGAGGTACGATCGCGATATACGACCTGGAACCGTAGGGTGAATGATTTAGACGCATTTACCCAGTTTTCATTGACGTTCCTAGAACAAGTTTTTGTCTAATCGAAGCCGACAGAATACTGTAATTGCCAGATTTGCAATGACGGGTAAAATATGTGATTACCTGTTTTTCTGAAGAAAAAAAGAATTGCTTATTGCGGATGTGCAGATGAACTCTAAAAAAGTTTCGTCGTAAGCGATATTCGCAAAAATTTTGTGATTTTCAAAAGTACGGAAGGCAATAGATCTTTTAAATGTGTATTTATTTATAACCCAACTGTAAAAATGTTCTCCACATTACGAATTGAATGTTTCAGTGTCTTGAGTGCTGTTTTGGAGAGAGTCTACCTATGCAATACAGTATACGATTACGAGCCTTTTGAATCGAATACAGTATACGATTCAAAACCGATTTGCATAAAACGGATTGTCAGAATATTTTTTTTTGATTCTAGGAGCATGCGTCAATTAAATTAAAATTTACTCAGAAGGGATACAGTAGATGCTTTGTCCGAGTGTAATGAGTTTTTAGATTTTTTTTTCCAAGATTCAATGACAGTAGCGAAAATTCATAAATTTATACAACACTTTTTCAAAGTTGTATTTTTTCTTTTCTTGTTACATTAATATTTCATTCTTTTTCGGCGATCATTTGATTACTTTTTATGTAAAACGTATTCTTCATTCAATTCAGTCATCGAGGGATTCATAAAATAATTTTTATACAGCGATGTAGAAATTCACGAGGAGCTCATTTACAACGATATTTGTATTCAACAAGGATATTGTCGTGCAGAGAGTCCATCTGACTTTTAAAATTTACTTCGACGAATTAATTCTAAAATTTTCATATTTCTTCAGCTCAAAAACGTCAAGAAATCTGAAAAAGCATTCTTCCTAAGAAAGTATGGAAAATATTTGAAGTTTGCACACTTCGCAGTCCAACGTATCGCAAACACTTTTCCCGCCAACCGCTGAGAGAGGAATCAAATACTGAAATGCTTTCACGCAAAATAATAAAAATATAAAAAGAGAGTCAGGCAAACAAAATGGGTGGTATGTGCAAATGAGACGAAAAACCANTCGTTAGAACAAATTGCTGCCATTCCCAGGCATTTTCGACATTCAATTCATCCCGGAGTGTTACGTCTGACTCGTCTATGCTCCAAGACCTAAATTTATAGAATCTTTTTCATGTCCGAACAGAGACGTGATTACAAAGGTATCCATTAGACTTGGGAAGTCTACTGGGAATGATTTAACAAAGGTGCGTACGTGAATAGCTAGGTACAGCGTGCCAGTGGGAATTATAAAATACTGTTTTTTTAAGTTGGCAGCACTTCAAAAATCCTTCCATACAGATGTTTACTCACAACTGAATAATAAATTATAGTGGCTTTGGGCAACAAATTTAGATGACAAAAATTAACACGAAATTCAGTTTCACAACACGCGAAACACACGAGATAAAAATTACGTTAAAAATACCTGTGCAGTATTTTTTTCTTTTTGAAGTGAGCGGGTTGCAATGAATTGGGAACGATGCGACATCTGTACGCAAAGTTACAAATCGCACAATACATCTTCCGGAAGTAGGTGTCGAATCCAACCTCGTGCTTGCATTTGGCTGCTTACGTCTACGTCATATCAGGGGAAATCATCAGTAATGATTGTATTGATTGATGATAACAATTAACAATAGAACGTAGACAAAATGATCACGTCCGAAGAACAAAAATATTTAAAAAGCCTGCAAAATCCAGGCTTGTTATACACTATAAAGGAAATGTTCCGAATAAATTATTTCCCGCAAAATGCAGTATTCCATCAGCGTTGCTCAAAGCCGGTTTTTTTCATCCTCACGTATTGTAATTGGATTTCTTATATTCCACTGCTTTGTGAACTTCCTGGTCGGTCACATATTTTTTTAAAGTGCGGAATTAATAAATTGAACGTGGTGATACGATGATGTGATACGTACATCAACCAGAAAGTACTGAACAGATAATGTGGTATCATTTAGTTCGCGATATAAGAAGTATACTTACTGAGGAAGGAGGTACGGAAATAAAGTTGAGAAATCCAGTAGCATCGGACATCAACGCTTCGAAGTGTCAACATTTCTTACGGCTTCAAATACCGTATATAGGATTCATGCTTAAAACTTGAAAAACAAAACCAGGACACCCGATATCTCACGAGATTTTGTTTCCCGGAAAACAGCTCAAGTGTGCCGGCTCTTTCAGAGATTATCTCCGGTAGGAATATTTTTAGGACAGAACAGTATTTGGTTTTGTAATGTCGTGGATTGAGGAAATGCAAGACACAAAAACACTGGTTCTTTCAAGACTTGGTTCTTCAGCAGCAGTCGCTCTCTTTACTGATATCTGATTCCATTCGCCCTAAACCATGCCTAAATTATTGCACTGTACATCATTCTCGAACAGTAGCGGACTCAGCAGGAACGAATACGTTTTTTCGAAAGCGTGTGAAAGCCAGATTTTTACGAAAAGAATTATTAAGAACACATCACGAATGATCATTATCTCATGCCAACTCTTCGTCAAGAGTTTTTAGTTCAACGCACATATTTCAACGTAACACGATTTGAAAGCATGGGGCGAAGTTTAAAATTAATCTTGGCAGACAACTTTCACTCGAATGTAAGGAGTCGTACATAAAGCTCAATTCTGAATGAAGACAGGAAATCTCTGAATTAGATCATTTTCACAATTCTTAAATTTAAACTCTGGCTTGAATAAAAAATCGCTTTCTAATTTTAATTTTGGGCCAGCTTTCGTATACAACATAATCAACTCAAAATAAGCAAGATAGGAAAAGCTCTCGAAATTTCGTCAAAATTATACTTGAGACTATAACGATGCATGAATGGATTCAGTCGATTCACCCTAAATTCATTAAATATGAAGTGATCTTGTGAAAAGTATTACAGTATTTCCTTAATAGTGTGGCGTTCATCTATCCATGTTTTCTCATCAATTCAAATAGAGTAAACTAGCAAAAAGTCGACAGGAAATGGACATGTATATTCCGAAAACAATTATTACAATTTCTCATGACGACCCACAATTGGAGTTTAAGACTTGAAATACTCAAGAACCAACCCTCTCAGGTCACAGAGCTTACAGTGGGTTTTTGTTGAAAGAAAATGATGTGACATTTTTTCCCCGATTTTATACTACGCCGGTACTTTTTAAACAAGGCTCATTTTTATAAACTACTGCGATTTTCTTTAAACTACGACTTTCAAAGCAATATTATTTTAGAAAACGAACACTAAATTTGTAGTAATTTACAAGAAAATCGTTACCCCTGCCAGACCCGCGTATGGGTCGTCTACGCATCGCCGCGAAGAAGCAGGACGACAGAAAAACGGAACATCAAGCGACACCTATATAAACTTGCATTAAACTTGAGCCATTTACAAACGTTGAACTCAGTTCATCGTATCGTATAGATAGGCGAAGAAAATACTGTACAATACAGTATTAACAGTAATCTGCGAAAAATGTCGTGAGCACATGATTCACTATCCGAAGATTCGCCATTATCTTATCTCGTTCGAAAATTTTTTAGCAGAAACTCCTTTAGCTGGAGATTGAGCATGAATTTTCTGCAAAATAATTTTTAAAATAAAAAATAAACTGGGAGATTGAGTTGAAATCGCTCGGGCATAAAAAATTGGGGGTCAAATATTCGACTGTACGCGACGCAATCGCAGAGGAAATGTTCCCTTATAGCCCCGGAAACATTGCTGTCATTTTTCATTCACGTCGTCGAAAATCATCAACGGGAATCGAGAACCCTCATGCCATTTCCTTCCCTCGGAACTTTTCACCCTCTGAAGAAAAGCTTTTCCGATATTTCACATGAACAGCATACGAGTAAAGTACTGTACTGCTACACATTCCTTGAAGTTAGGAATCATTCCTGCATTCTAGAAAAAAATAAATCAAATGATGCGAGCCAATTTCTCAAAACTGATGACATTTGATCCAGTCTAGCAATATCGACGTCTTTCTTCAAACACGGGATTCTTTAAAGAAAAATGAAACTTCTCTGAATGCATTTTTGTACAGTATCTTACAGAATCGCCACAAGCGTGATGATCACTCCTGTGACCCCTCACGACCATTGATTCCAGCACCAATAATTTTATCGAATACGAATCTTTCGAGTTAACTTTTTTTTTTCTCAACGATAGGCTGCCCTTCTCCTTGCAAAATCATCGCATGAACTTTTGAGCGGCCTATACACGAGATATTCGAACACAAGCCGCGATGTGTTGAATATTGCGGCCTACACTGTACATGGAGAGGATGCAACGAATTGGATTTGAAAAATTGAACAAAATTTTCTTCAGAAGCTTCAAAGAGGAGAAAATCGAGCTTTGTTCAGTTGGAAACATGCTGACTGAACGTATTAAACACCAAAACGATGGAGAAAACTTTTCTCTGGGAAATGTTCATGAAGAAAAATCCAAGGCCTCTATATTTTTCAAAATTGCCCATTATTTTGCTGTATCTTGTAACGTCAAGAGTTTGAGTTTGTAATTCCCAACTCAACTTTTGGTTAAATACGTTGGCAACACTCAAACAGAACCTTCTTTTCACCAACGATGGTCTTGCTATGTGTGCATCAGGATAAAACAATAGCGGTTTTCCTTGACATCAAGTGCACCAAGTTCATGGAAACTCTATTGTATGCGTGAACGCCTTCTAGAAATCCCCACTACGTGGACTCAAAGCGGTTGAGTCAAAACTTATCCAAAGCATTCGAAAAATATCACAGAACAAGGAATTGTTTAGGGAATATAATACACACCAATTGTTTGACCACTCGCGTATTTCTCAATCATGTGACCAATATTAATTGAAAGAGAGAAATAGTCACCCGAACAAGATGCGCACCAGGGTTTTCAGGATTTTTTTTTTTTCAATTTTACCACTGAGTAAGACGCGCACATCATTCTAATTAATCGAAGCGGTTTATTAAAACTGTAATATTTTGCAATTGAGAACACCGACATTGTAATTGAGACATGAATTTATCCTGAATTCAAAAATTTTTTCATTATTTCCACAACAACACGTTTTTCTGCTGAAATTGGTAAGCAATTTCCCACGAGAATCAAATATAATGCCCACCTGAACTTCTACAACTTTTTCACAAATTTATACCCGCTTATGACGCGCGCTGCCCCTTTCATCATATAAATTATGAGAAAAAAAAGGTCCACGTGGTACACGAGTATGCTAAATATTGGATATACCCGTTCGTACTGCACTGTACTGAAATACGGTTAAAAAGTGACTAACCTCGCTACGAGTCCTGGTCAAACACCGACGTTTGTTCGCGGCTCTTTCCTCAGCAGTGATCCACACGTCTCGCTTAGAATCATACACCAACTCGGATTCCACGTCGGCAGGACCAGAGTGGTGTCGCACGCGAGCAAATTCCAGCTCCATGTCATCTTCGTCCGTGACAGCGTCAGTATTATCCCGGGGCGAGCTGCTCCTCTGGTGCTTCAACAGCTGGCTACTGTGGTACTGGTGGGGATGAGGATGATGGTGATGGTGGTGGTGGTGCGAGGAGCCCTTGGCTGCCAGAGCGTGGACAAAGCTGCCCATTTTTTGCTTCAAGTGCGAGAACTTGATGTGCTCCAGGGACGAGGAGCGGATCGGGTGGCGCGGGTGAGAACCACTAGACTGCGGGTGCTGCTGCTGGTTATTAGGAGGCGTACTCGCTGTCGATGACGAGGATGACGAGTTCTTGACCTTGGAGCCAGAGTCGACCGACATGGAGAAGTGGGGGTGACGGCGAGAGAACCCGATGGACGGGGGTCTGCTGCCGCTGGAACGACTGAATGGAAACAAGGACAAGAAGACATTATAGTGAGTACTGTAATGTACAGTATATGCTCTGATGACTTCGTCCTAGCGTCTGATTGAGGCCAGTCTCTATAATAAGGGCCTAATCTCAGAGAATATTCAGCAGAAGAGTAGCAGGTCTCCTGATGATAGCATGTTCTAGAAAAATATTCTTCAACAGGATGAGCCTGTATAAATAAATATAAAGCTAGATTACAAACCAATAAAATGCAACTGATTTTTTTATTAACTGTATCTCTTGTAAATAATAGCCAGTCTTTAATGGAAGCGAACTCTTTATTGAGAGCCGATAAAAAAACAAATTCTTTTAATATTTAGCATGGGCCTCTATATTGAAGCCGTAGGGTGATGTAAAATCAGAGTTACTGTTGAATCTAAAATTGTGTAAAAATCTAAAAAAGAGAAAATCTAAAATTCAACAATTGTACTGTTGAATCTAAAAAGTTTGAAAATTTGGGATGTTGGGAAAAATCTTGTACATTTGATTAGGTTCATAATTAAAATTATCTCGGCGTTTATCAATACAATACATTATTTACGAGGTGCATTGAGGAACTAGGACAGGTCAATTGTAATATTATTTAGGGGTGTTTAAATATTAATTTTCCAAAATAAAACGAAAATTCTTCAACAAAAAACCATATTTATTCTCTGCGACACATCGAAAAAAGCCCATGAGATATTTACCAACGCCAATACAGTTTTATTATTGTTTTGCAAATTACGAAAAATGAAAAAGTTTTCAATAGATCTCTTTTTGATGTTTGCCTATTACGCAAAGACTTGTAGTTCAAAAATCCCCGTTGCGTCCGATTCAAAAATGGAATACGGTTCTTACTAAGCCTCAGACGACATTTGTGATACAAAACGAGCCTAAATTTTGAAAAATTGATATGCAGTACGCACTTGCATTAGATCGATTTCTTGATAATCAGAGGCGTCTGTTTGACGGGTTTACTAATGATAATTAATGTATAGTACTTAAAGGCCTCTGAGTTCAGGTACCACGAACAACATTTCGTCAATTTAACGCAATGATCCACGAACGGTAACCTACAATTACCGACGCCTTCGAATGGCAGAAATGATCAAATAAAGGATGCAATCGATTATGATAAGCACGTCGATCTTTTGAGTCTCGAAAATGATGCCATCGTTCATGGAAACATGAGAGCTACTTTCATAACGTTCAATTTCTTCAGAATCTAATTCTCATGCTTCAGTTAAAAAGCTTGATCTCCTCCTACTTCAATGTATATCGGGATCCTAAACATCGTGCCCTTGAATCGAAAATAACATTAGGGCTTTAGTCACCTGAACTTCACGCAGTTCGTATTCGAAATATTGAGTTGATCGGAATTGATAACGCTTTTCACACACGAGTAAAAGAAGCTATCATATTTAAGACACTGATCGAACTACGTTTCAGACGCCATCGTATTCACGACTGCTCACCGTTGGTTTTTAATACTAGAATTTTTGCGGGAGGAAATTGAATAACTTTTTAAAGCATTTACTCAATTACCACCTGTTTTCAAGTACAATATGTGACGCACCTCCACTTTTCAGCCTGAATGGTTGAAAAAACTCGATCCCCAAGTAAGAAGCGCATCCCATTTTTGTGATTGCAAAATTCCAATATTTCAAAAATGCAATGTATTCAAATTTGATTCCTAACTTGGAACAAAACTTATCTTCAATTGAATTCAGCGCATCGAATAATGTTTTCTCCTTGGTTTCTCCTTGGTTATAAAATATTCTACAAATAATTAACTACAATATTAGGCGCACATAAAAAACAAAACAAATTTGAAGGTTTTTTTCCCCCCTCTCACTTTTGGAAAAAAAGGTGTGGGTGGTCAGATAGAGTAAACATGCGGCATATGCATGCCAAAGTGGTAAATCAAAGTACCTGCTCACGGACCTGATAAAGCTGCCAAACGAGGAATTGGCTGTCGACACACTGCCTATATTACTGCTGTGAAACGAGCTGGCACTGCTGGCAGGATCAATCCTGATCCCGACCACCCCCGGGCACTCATCAAACACCCCGCTCCCGACATCCGCCAACGACGACGACCCCGCTCCACCACCACCACCACCACGACCACCAGTGGCACCCGAAAATCCGTGTGGCTCACTGTACGACACCGGGTGCTCTTCTTTCACATCCTCCACGATCACCGTCTCGTCTTTGCTGCTGCTCACTTGCTCCTCCTCTTCCTCTTCAATCACTTCCTGCATCAGACGATAGCACACAGACTCGGGACACATGTCGTCATAGAGCTTCTCCACATACTCCGCCGTCATGCATCCACCGGACACACGGGCCACGATCTCGTCTTCCTCACGCTTGGCCCAATAGGCCAGCTCCCGATAACACTGGTACTCGTAGGCCAGGTCATTGAGGAGGGACTCCGGGGTTTCCGCAACAAGCTCCGACAGGGACTTGACCCGTTTCGGAGACGTCACCCGGTCCGTCGCCGCCGCCGTCGACGACGTCTTTTTCGGCGATTCCTGCGCCGTTTCCGTTGCCGCTTGCGAATCCGTGTTTTGCAGCGTGGGATTCGAAGAAGACGTTGGCACTCGGTGCGGGATTTTAGAGTCGGATGCGGCTTGGCCGACGACGACGACGTTGTTGCGAACGGCGAGGGACGGAATGATGGACACGGATTCGCTGGACGCCACGTCGGGTTCCGGCGGCGGCGGTGCTGTTGGTTGGTTTTCTGCGTCTGGAAGAAGGACGACTGGAGCAGGTGTGGATGATTCGCTGACGCCGTCGTAAACGTTGAGCGGACATCGCCGCGGGGTTTCCTCGTCAGTCATTATTTCGTCAGTTGATTGAAAGTCTTTTTTTTTGGCTGTTGCTTTGTTAATCGTGTGATTATTCCCGAGGAGCCGTTTTTTTTTCTTTCTTGCTGATGCTTGCACAGTATTAGATAATCCGAGGAACACCGACACTTTCACAATGGATCAACGCACTCGCTCGAGAGAGTCCATAGAGTTCGAATTTCGCGCGATAATCACTCCAGAGATTCACCGGCGGGCACAAGATATTTGCTGCTCGGGAAATAATCATGGAAATTTTTTTTAGAATCAACAAAGCTTGATTTCATTAGCGCGCTTTCTTGGAATATTCGTTTCTTTCCTCCACGCAAAAAAATTCTTACACCTCCTTCTCTTGATTATCATTTTCCATTTGCCAACGTCTAAAATGTATCAATTCTCAAAATTGAAATAATTTCCCTAAAATCTCGTCCTCTTTGGAACACGGAATTGTGCTTGCGAATATTTCGTCTTTTTCCATTTTCTAGAGAAGGCACCTTATCATCACAAAGATACATTATGTAGTGCGTTGTGACGAGTTACCAAACGATTGAGTTTTCAAATATTTTTCATCAGAGAATATTTGTTTAAGAAAAATACAGACTTTTTAATCTGATCAACGCATTCCTCCAAAAGTTGAAAAATGCCTAGACCTAGAGAGGTTCTATTCGCTGCAAGAAGCAATTCCATACACTGCATCTTCTAATAACTGTCGAAAGCATGAAATTTGTGCGATGATCACGGTTCACCAGAAGATCCACTGCTGATCGGTATAAAATATTAGCCGTTCAAAATATTAACATATATAAGGGTTCAGAACATTCAAGCTTCACTTACGTATATACTGTACCTGCTTTTCCGCTGTTTCAAAAAACCAACGTTTGATCAAAATTCTCACGAGAAAAGTGAATTGCAGTTCCGAAGGCACCCAAGACAAATGATCAAACACTGAGCAAAATTGGGAAGTCAAAATGACTCCACGTGATCACAAAATTTCGCACGAGAAACGAACCGCTCTCGTGTCTGAAATCACCAGCCGGCTCAACCCAATACTTCCCATTTTAAATTGAACATCAGCAAATGTCAAGAAACTCGTAAATCCGAGGCCGATGTTCCCTCGAATAATCTCACACCACTGCACACATTGACGAGCCATCCCTTCTGATCCGGATGAAGCTGAAGCTCAATACACACACACACGCAAAGACACACTAAAAAAAAAAAAAAAAAAAAAGAACAGGAAAAACTCGTGATGGGTACGAAGTAAGGCCCATGTTTCCATCCAGTGGTTTGTCACTGAATAAACATGAGCTTCGCTTTTACGGGGCAGGAAAACACAGCTCGTCTCCGACGACGATCACGACACAGGCACGCTCAAATAAACCAATGATGATTGAATGCATAAATGACCACGGTCTCATTTTCCCCTGAAAACTTCAAACAAAGAATATTTTTTATTTTCATGCGTTGTGGTGGAAGTGCAGCAGTCACTGCTTTCATTCATGAACTCAAAAATTACTCTCGACAGGTTCTCCGCATTACGTAGGAATTGGTAACAAGAAGCGAGAAATATCGTAGCTTGAAACTCGAGAGATCGATGGATTAAGACTTCGAGATTCCTTTTCTAAAAATAGTTTACACGTCTTCATGAAAAAATTAGAATTCCATTTGTTTTCAAAATTTGATGGCGTAACACCGAAGAAGATATTAATATCGGAAATTTTTTTCTTCGCGGCATATTTACGCGATTTGCGAAGAAAAACTTATTTCACATCGCCCGAGAAGCAGAGAACTTCGAGAGTTTGAAAAATTCAATCCGATCAAGTCTCGAGGAAACTTCAAAAACTTCTGAGACATGTGGGGTAATTCGCTTCAGACGTTTTCTCAAACAACAAAAACGCAGTTATCACTTGGAATAAAAACGTATCTGATCCGGGGAAGAATTTGATTAAGAAAAAAGCAAATACAGTACTGTACTGTATCTGGACACAAATTTTAANTAAAAATATAAACTACATTCAACTTTTAAAATATTCGACCAAAGTACTCAAGTTTTCTTCAAAATATTCAATTTCTCAGACTTTTTAAACCCAAGTCATTGCAAAAAACATACGCTACTGAATATCCACTCATCTGAATTTGATACGAGCCGTAATAATTATTTTGTATTACCAAGCACGTCCCTTGATCAAATGAATTACTTTCTCCGAATCCTCCCGATGTTCCTAATCTTATTTTTTTCCTACTGATCTTACCAAAAATTCTTTAAATTTTTAGACAATCATGGACGCTGAAATTAAAAATATTATTTTAAATTACTCTATAATCAAGGACGACTCCGATGACGGCAAGCGTCTGGTGAAAATTTGACTTTCAAAAGTTAAAAAACAATCTTGGGTTTTCAAAGATGATGCTCTAGACTAAAGCCTCAACAAAGTATTCATCCTGAAAATCTGCAGTAAATAAAACAAAATTCGTGATAACTTTATGCACATGAATTCAAAAAGTCTGCGTCGTCCCCATCTTACTATCTCATTTATTTCTTATAAATGCTGTTCAAATGTCTCAGTCTTCCAGATTTCGGAATGTAATGCTCTTTACCCGAGTAACCATAAACGCTAAAAACTACAGCTGGACTCTATCAACAATCATCTTGTCTAAAACGAAATTCTCTCCACCACGAATTGTTTTTCTGGTCCGTTGAGTTTAGTTATAGTTTAGTCCACCTGTAATACTGTAGTATTGCGCGTTCATTTTAGCAACTGTATTTCTGAAAATAATAACACGCCCCGGTCCATGTTCGGAAAAAATAAAAATAAGATACAGGTCTCATTCAACAACACCGCATACGAGGTTTCATTCGGATTTTTGAATTAAGATCGCAGACAATATCTTTCCGAACCCAACTCACAAGGTGCGATTGATTCAGTGAAATATTCATCATCGCTACGAATCAATCCGCGTCGACCCTTTCCAGGAAAATGACAGCGGAAATCCGGTCAGCCCATAGTTTTATCGACCAAAGGCCCTGTCCTATATACTGTAGCAACGACGACTTCCAACTCAAGCGACTGAAGCGCGTCCAAGACGCAATCGATCAAAAGGGACGCACTAACATACAGTATAGTATACTGTACAGATTTACAGCCAAACCCCGTTAAGACGGCCCCCTGATTAATCGCCATCCCCGGCAACCGCCAAAAATTTTTATTAAACAAATCTGAATGTTAAATGCCCAAGAGGCCTAGAAAACCCCGTGAAGACGCCAACCGCCAACATTAGTGATGAAACAAAAGTGCTGTTTCGTATTTGTTTTGTCTTCGTTACAACGCCAGCATTGGGGTAAAATTATGATTCTGTCCATAAGATTTTGCATTTTTAAGAAAAAAAGGTTAAAAATGTTTATTCATTTGAATTATTTAAAAAATAGATAGACGTAATTTTAAAATTCAAATAAATTTAAAGAATTCATTTTCTGAAGGAGAAATATGTATCACATATATCACAGCAATATTCATGGGAAAAATTCTGAAGTTTCTATAAATCGAGCAATTGCAATCAATTAATTTAAAATGAAATATTCAATAAACAGCCAATGCTCAAATAGTGGCGTCTTATGGGGGTTTGACTGTATATTTTGTATGCCTCAAAATCAAAGCAAATTCCCCTCAAATAATATACGCACTTAATAAATTTAATTTAATCAGAATCATATGAGGATGGTTTTTTTGTACTCGTACATCATTACACGTCGCGTCTCCTCGAACGCTTCCAGGAAAAATCAGGACATCAAATCTCGCGTCCTTCAACTGAAAAAAAAGATGAAAAATTGTGTGTATTGAAAGAATTCGAGAAAAATTGCATTCACGAGATCGTGTACGTCAAAATCAGCTACGCATTTCACCGGTAATTAAAGATTCGATGAAATGAATACGCAAAAAAACTACATAATACGTAAGCTTGCATATCCGTCCACGGGTTAAGGACAGAAACAGAACAAATGAACATCGCTCGAGCCGCTCTTTTCTTGAAGATTTCCCGCAGACAAGTGACAGTAATGCAGTTTCGTGACGACACAAGAAAAGAGAAATAATGAGGCGGCTTTGGGTGCATTCAAACAGAAAAGCCTTGTATACAGACTGACGAGAAGCATCATCACTGTATAGGAGACTAAGTACAGTATTCTTCTGAACTTTTCGGTGAAACGTGTTTAACTTGCTCTCATAATCGTTCAGTCGAATACAGAGGAGTACTTCTTGTTTTGTTTTCCGTAATGTAAACCTGTCCATCGACCTCCCACTAAAGCGGTTCTGTTTTTTTTTCTTCTCTAAGAATTGAAGGAAGAAAAAAAAAAAGGTCATTCCAATCCCAGATCATGCCTCCCAAATACAGGCAAATTTCCTCGAAATTCAATTTAATTTCCATCTTTAGAAAAACGTGACCCGATGCTTCTTCTGGTCTTCTTTTGAGCAGTGGAATCTTGAAAATGTTGGCCTCCCACTAATGCGGTTCCGCTTTTTTTTCAAGAATTGAAAAAGGTAAAAAAAAGATGAACATTACGATCTCAGGTCATGCCTCCCAAATACAGGCAAATTTCCTCCAAGTTCAATTTAATTTCCATCTTTAGAAAAACGTGACCCGATGCTTCTTCTGGTCTTCTTTTGAGTAGCGGAATCTTGAAATTTTCGGGGTTCCCAAGCGGATTGATTAATGCGGATTCTTTAACAGGCAAGGATTCCCCGGAGGCGTTCAGCGATATTTCAGATCCGCGAGAGTTTTCCTAAAATCGCGAACTGAGAAAGTAACGAATTTTTATAAATTAAATTCGGTGGATTCTCCAGAACACTGATTTTCACTCGGCAACACTGGTATGCGGTACAAAGAAAAACTTTCCTGATCCTACAATAAATATACAACGTGGACCAGGAAAGATTGTACCAGTATCTTAAAAACTGCGCTATCTTTTGAAAATCCCATGCCATACCTTAAAACATAAATTGGATGCATATTCAGTAATATTTTCCGAGTTTACCGATGTTACCACCAGGCGCGCTTCAATTTCGTAAATTAATGTACAATCCAAGATAAAAGTTTTTAATTATTTGTTCATGAGAGTTGGAGGGGCTGGTTTGAATATGTTTCAAGTTACACACGGCTTTTAATAAATTACGAACTGTCGGATGTAATTCCTCATTTTATTGTTCAAATTTGTACGGCAGGTTTGCCTGAAAAAAAAAAGAGCCTACAT